GCTCTGTGTGTCGTGGACTCTTCTCAGACTTGACAAATACTCGGGCGTAATGACGTTCGATTCGAATGTTAAAATATATCATTGTTACTCAATGTTCTGTAATACATCGTTGTTCTGACACTTCTGACAATATTTGTAACGCATCGTCGTTACACCGCTTCTGACACCATTTGTAACACACTTCTACTCTGACATGGCGTGGGATGTTATTTCTTATGCTGTGGGTTATGTCAGTAGTATGGTTACTTATATTAACGCTTCAGGATGCCGACTCAGTCTTCTTCATTCTTTCACTTATTATTCAGGCACGTAAAGAAGAATGCTCAATTCTAGTTAAAACTCACAGTACTTTATTGAACACACTTTATATTGATAATATTAATAAATAATCCTTGCATGAATGTAATTTCACATATATATCTATAGTATTCCATCATTAAGAAAGACACGTCCTCAGACTACTATAACTCAGCTCAACTGTCTAATCTCACAGCTCTCACGCTACTGACTGACTCTACTGCTCTGCGCTCAGCTCTCTACTATCTCAGTCAACTCATACTTTATTACCAGCAAAGCGTGCAAAACAACCGCTCTGACAAAAACATAATTTTACTCTCCAAAAACGTGGAGTTCACATTTGTTCTCAAAAATACAATCCACATTGATTGTCTCTCCCCGTGGAAAAACCTGGTGAACACACTCACTGTCCACTCATGCTACCTCTCTGTTTACATGTGAAAACATAGTCCGTTACAATTTTTTTTAAAAATAGTTCTAAATGTCCTGGTACTTGATGGTCTAAGTCTAGTGTAGGAGTTGATTGAATACAAATGAATAATGAGATTAGCCTATGGCCTATACTGTACTATATGATATGAATATTGAAAGAAATATTATGTCTATTCACTGACTATTCAAAGTCAAAGTAACTAACTGCTAACTACTTACTACTTAGTAATATTACAGTAAGATTAAGATTACCCGTACGCTAGTACTTAAATTAGTTGAGTGAATAGTTGTTGGCTTACACTTACCAGTCCAGCAGGGGCGTAGCTAGGGTTGGTGTCACCTGGTGCCGTAAACTCATGGTGTCTCACCCTGACTTCCATGATGAATTTCTTCTTGTTAAAATATGTCCACAGTATAACAATGACAAGAGCAAAAACAAATTAATTGAAGGTCAGGAGGTAGCCTAAAATAAATCATTTACTAAAACTAAATGTATGTAAGAACTGTAACAACGTAAAGTTAAAGTTATTTTTACATTAAATTTAATTTTATTTAAAATTTTCCAAGACTGCAAACCCTTCAATCACTTGATCAAATTCAATATCCTTCACCCTTGACGTTCAATATAGTAGATACAGATCAGAAAGCCTTGACTGTTCCATGATGGATCGTAAATAGTTCTTGATAAGACTTAGTTTTGAAAAGTTCAGCTCACTTGAAGCCACAGACACATAGTTCGTAAGAAACATTTGAAGGCTTAGCGAGTATTAGTGAGTATTGGAAGAGATTCTAGGAAGTCCCATTCAGCTATAAATTTCAAAACATCAAATACTGACCAGTCCAAGACTTTGTGAAATTCAATATCAGCTGCTACTAGGCGTCTTCTAAGTCTTAGTATTTCTTATAAAAGTTCATCTTCTGAAGACTCATCATACAATTTTGGAACTGACACCAATAACTCTTCTTCACTTGCTGATAGAAGACTCTTGGGCTGAACAGCTCCAAACATAGCTGCTATTTCCTTGATCGCTGATGATCTGATCCAAAATTCCGAATGACAGGGATCAAAACACTCCAGCATCTCCCTACTGTTTCCTTCTCACAGAGAGTTCAGGATCTATTAATTTTTCTGCTATTCTCTTCTTAAACCTTAATCGTCTCTCTACCAAAATTCTATTGGTCTGATTTTAAACGTGCCTTTTCAATAGCATGTTCCGCCATGTAACAGGGCTTCTATTGCACAAACAATCTGAAGGCATCCACGTTAGTCACGACTTTGTCAAGAGTAAAGCCTTTAGTTTACAGATACTGCTGTGTAAGATTAACTTCCTCAAGTAGATCAGCCCAACAGTAAAAGTAGCAGATAAGCATGAAATAACAGACAGCATGTAAAAGACCATGTGCTGTACCTCTTGCATCAACAGGACGGCATTGAGCTTCCAACACCGCCACACATGCATCAAACATATCTTTCACTGTCTTAACAGCAACATGATGAGCCCTCCAATGTGTTATTGACAGTCTGTTCACCGACATTCCAGTGTGTTCAATTAAAAAAACATTGAAATATGGATGCAGGAAAGAAGGAAAATATTCTCTCAAAAGTACCAAAAAATCTAATATATGAAGCATTTTTGGCAAAAGAGTCACGAAAGTTACCGAACACTTCAATCAGCATTGAATCATGGTCAAAACAGATTTTTTCGACCTAATATTAGGGTCACCTCATTTCTGACGCATCAACCTTGAACTTTTAATAAAGCATGCATTTGGAATTGGTTACATGTGTGGAAAATGTACAGGTGCTCGGTTATCCTTTTATGAAATTTGGTTAAATCAAGCAGTGTGTGCTCGGTAAGTATGCAATTTTTCAATTTGGTGTCACCCCTGAGATGGTGTCACCCGGTGCGGTCCGCACCCCCCTAGCTACGCCACTTCAGTCCAGTGTATATTTATATTTTAGTAATTTAATTAGTCTTAGTCTTCACTGCTGATACTAAGTGATACTGATTGATACTCATATTTTTAGTAGTTTTAGATACGGCACGGTGACCAGACATATCGGCTAAACGAGGGACAGTCCTTATTTTGCCATCACCCATACAGGTATCCCCAAAAGGTCAGGAAACGTTCTGGTCAGTGGTGTTTTCTGACGAACTGCGTACTTTTCCCTAGACAGGGAAAAATGCTCCCACTGATTTAAACAACATGTGGACAAAGATGAATCGCAACTGAAAGCCGATACATTGAAATGAAACATGCTTGTTGTCAAATGCAATTTCAGTTATTCATGTGACAAGTTTCTTCTGCTTCTATATATTAAGGGCCCACAATCAATTTATTGATCATTTTGGCTCCTATGCATGTAGAGGGCATTCGCAATGTTTCTGTGCCTAGTGCTGAAGAGGATATTTCACTGGTTGCAAGGGCTACTCAGCGAGAGTATCATGAACTGGGTGTTGGAAGGCTTGAGGCAATAGACGCAAATGTGTCAAGTGTTGTCGCCTCAACTGTTCCTTTTGGAAACTTGTTCCAGTCCCTGATTGCCTTTGGCAGGAATGAGCAGTTCCTGTACTGGCTACTTGCTGGTATAAGCATGTCATGGCCTCTCTTCTGTCTATGTGGGGAGAGGGATGAGTTCTGTTTAATGCTGGAGCAGAGGACCAGCCCATTATTTATCTTGTACTTCATAGAGAGCCTGGATAGTTGTCGTCATTCCTCTAATGGTGACCAGCCCAGTTTTTCCAGCATGCTGCCAACAATAGAGGTATTCCTGTAGCGGTTCAGGACAAAATGTGTTGCCCATCATGGACCGCCTCCAACCTGTCGATGCTCTTCTGGGTAAATGGGTCCTAGAATGAAGATGTTTTAGCTAAAATGATATGTTTTATGATATGCTACATGATGTTCTGGTAGCTGTCCAGTCATCTCATAAATATTAGTGTGTCATGATTATGACATTAATAATTACAATTCACTTGTTGATGCTTCATATTTCTGACACTTGTCAGTTGTGTCATTATCTTTTTTAATAACATGTCAAATGTTAGTAGTTAGTTACTCACTGACGAGCTGTTTTTCCTTTTATGAACATTGAAATGGTGACATATTCAATCTCAGAGTCAGAAATTATTAATAAATTCCACTCAAAACACTTCTAGTACTTTTCTACTTTATTTTTCACAAATATTTCACCTGCAATTTCCAATTAACACAAGGTAAGTTTTCATATGTCCATTACATACAGTATGCTAAATAATAATATATTAAGTACACTAATGAATTTGTTCTTCAGGGTACCGGTACCGTGCATTAAAGTCAGTCTTCACAAACCATTTTTGGCTTCTACACCCCCAAACCCTTGGCTCCTAGGTTACCCCCAGAAAATTATTTGTGCTGTATTTTAGAATCCGCATTAACCTACAGTCTGCACAGTTGCTATTTGCTCCTAGTTCAGGCTGATGAAATAGGGGCTGTTCATGGGAACCCGAATTAGGGGGCCATTTCATCAAGGTGTCTACCCTTTGATAAGGAAGCTACCTCCAGCATCCCGGGGGTGGCTGAGTGTCTGCCAGTAATGGGAGTCATTCCCTTTCTTGGCTAGGCAGTACGGGAAGGAGGATTGTAAATGGGAATTTTGGGTGAGGCTATAAGAGCCTATGCTTGGGCTGCTTATTTTAATCCTGTTGTCTAGATTAGTAGTTTTTTTAGACATACTTAACCTTGACATTATAGGCATAGAATTCATTTAAAATCTAGGTCATTTATTTATCTAATTATTACTATTAGCAAGTATTCCTATTATTATTAGTTACCCTAATATTTCAGCAGATGGTCACCTCAACTCAGTGTTACAGTGTTAGGCATAATTTAGTAATTTTCGGACTAGGCTGTAAATTACTATTAGTTATGACATACTGTGTATATATATATTATTCATTATTAAATAATAGGGAAAGTTACTTTTTAAATTTTAGTACTATTATTAGGCTAACATTAATATTATCTATGAATCTATGTATAGATTGGCCTAGTGAGCCACTCGTCGAAGAGTAGGACTACATAGCTACTCCATCATCTCACCAAGAAGGAAGGATGCCATACATAGATATAGTATAGTATAGTATAGTCCCAGTGTAGGGTTAATTAAATACTTACAGTCAGTTATACTATATCAAGGAAAAAAATAAGTTACAACTTAAATAAACATTTTAATCTAATCACAACTATCAATATCAAAATTATTAAGCCTTGACCTTTGCTTTTTTTACAGTTACTAATAATAGTACTAGTAACAGAATGCAAGCCATTGTGCATAGAGAAATTACAAAAAAGGTGTAATGGATTCTGATTTTGAAAACGAAGTCTGTAATATTCTAGATGTGAGTGCAGATTTGTTTGATGACAGTGATCATATGGAAACAACATCCTTAAGACAAATAACAAAATCAGAAAGTGAGTTTAGTGAGTCAGCTCATATTGAAAAACGTGATTTCATTACCACATCTCAAGATGATATACCAGGCAGCAGTAACCAATGGTCAGAAAATTCAAATCAAGAGGAAAGTATGTATTACGCTGAACAATCCTCTTTAGATGATTCTATAAAAGGTGTACCTAACAAACGACACAAAATTGATGCAACAGAAAATGCACATTCCTCCTCTACATGTGATAATCCTAAGATTATTGAGAGTGAGAACTCTCATAATTTAAAATTTAGCCCTGAAAAAAATGATTTTGGTTTCAATGATAGTAAAATTGCATTTACTGTATCATCCCCATTAGCATTGGAAGTTATATCTGAGCAGTTGAGTGATGATGTTGAAATTGTCTCTAAACCTGCAGAAACTCATCTCAGTCAGATAAACTTGAAAAATGAGGATGGAGTTATGATGGGCTCTCTTCACAAAAAAGAAGAGGATATTTATAGTGTATCCAGGTATTTAAAATTACCTGAAAATAAAAACTCTTGCAATGAAAAGGAACCAAATGATGCAAGTCCTAAAACTGGTGCCGTAGGTTTGTATTTTACTTGTCCTTTTTGTAGTTTATCAGAAACTGATATCCATTCCTTAGAGGAACATATAGAAGTAATGCATCCAGTAAATATGAGTGGAGAATTAGGAGGCACAGGTACAGCTCACAATGCAAACTCAGATGAAGCTAGGGCAATGAGTACAGTTGAGGAGGCTGTTTTCCTTTATGTTTGCCCACTATGTGACTTGGACCTTGGTGATGAGACTACCCTTCATCTACACCTGAATATAATGCATGAGGAGGAACCTCCCATCAGAGGCTCATCCACAATTAATTGCCCTCTGTGTGAAGTGGGCTGTTTATCTGAACAAGGTAATCATAAAATTAGCTAATGAATCAAAGGTGTTATTTCATTATAAATATTATTAAGAATTAAGCTTTACAACATATAGCATTTGCATACTGCTAGCAATTCAATTGAAATTAGCAAGAAATTATTTACACTAATATTCAAAATATGTTTTGAACATGAGGATAACAAATAAAACTACTGAGCCCACAAAGAATGATAAGGATGTTGCAAATCTGTAAAGTCACAGAATTAAATAATTATATAAAGTTGTGTGTCCATTTTTTTTTCTGGTGGGGATAACAAGTTAAATTTATTCATATTGTTTTTAAACTTTCTGGTTTGTTCTTCAAGGTGCATCTGTAAGAGTAAGATTTAATGGGTTTTTTTATGATTTAGTAAAGCTTTTCCCAATATTATTTTACTGGGTGCAATTAGGCCGGGAAATCCTGCTGTATTTGTGGCCTTAATTTGTATAGCTTTTTTTTTAACATGGCAGATCTTTTCGAAGCTTTGAGGAGATTTTGGGTCACACCTAAGAGATTTATGACTAATTAATTGTTAAGAAAACCCCTTTTATAAATGTAAAAATTAGTATATTAGTAAAATTTAGTACTACCAGATAGGTATACCGGTATCTAAATCCTTCTTATAAAATATATATTTTTTAAACAGAAATGAAGTACCACATGAAAACTCACAGCTCAGATGATACCAAGTATTGTGTGAGCACAAATGAGATGGCAATGGACAATGGCACTTATTTTATGATGTGCCCTGTATGTAAATTAGCTATGGATGATGCAGATCTTCTCACATCTCATGTAGAAAGCCATTTTAATCCCCAACACTCAGCAGGTACAGATTTTATGAGACCAACAACAAAAGAGTACTCTATATGCCTACTAACTGGTCCATTTAACAAATGGCAACAACATTAACTCTCCAGCAGTATGACCTATGAATTAGCTTCATTCTATCTCTCAAGTGCAAACATAAATCTTATATCTGTTATTATTTTAGTAGAGACATCGATGACAACGGACTTATCAATTCCACTCCAACTGATCAGCAAGATCATGAGTGGTCTGGGAATTTTTCACAAATCAAAGTGGGAGGGTCCCCGAAACTGTTTTTAGGTGCAACTTTGCTTAAATAATTTATTTGTATTTAGGTATTTTTAATTTTATTTTCTTGCTTCTAGTTTCTAGTTTATTTTCTGTAAATTAATTAGATAAGGAACCTTCATTTAAAGTGGAGCTATGTCCCTTTGCTTGGGCGCTGGGAGTAGAAAAGGCTGAATAGGCTTGGACTGTAAAGGGTTAATAATAAATTAATTAACTTGTAATTGTCAGTGTTTTTAACTTTAGGACCAAGCTCAAGTTCTCATACAGATATAAATGATCTTAAAAAACATTTTATTGGGAACTCTATAAAAGGACTACAAAATAGTGTGAGTAATTCTTTTACTGTTAATATTGATAGTATTAGAGAATTCACTAATTTTTAAAGGGAAATAATATTTTGATTTTGGGTTGTTTTTGTCAACATCATAATCATGAAAAAATTTTCCGATTAATTTATAAACACTTTTTTTTTATCCAAAGTATTAATTAATTTGAATTAATATCTTTGAAAAATTTAAAACAGGAAATCTCAGTATCATCAACCAGTGTTGACACAGCAACTAAAAGCAATGGAAAGCAATTCAAAAGTCACTCAACAAATGTTGGTCCCTCAAAGTGCATTGATTTAAATAAAAAGACAGTGTGGTCATCTGAATCTAAAGAAAGAGTCACAACAGGAGCCAGTGAAGGAAGGGTCGAGAAAACTTCTGGCAACCTGCCACCATCAAACAGCAGAGAAAATGGTGGCTATAAAAAACAATATGAACAAAACCTAGAGAGAGCTGTTGTAAAAGGAGAGTTATCTGTTGCTGAATTCCATGATGAAATGAGGAAGCTTTCACATCAAATCATTAAAGGTGTCGATGATGGGAGTACCAGGATTCAAGGTTGTTGTTTTTTTTCTTATTATTTTATCAAGGCCTGAAATAATATTGTCAAGTGTAAAGATTCAAAAATATTTTTTAAATGTTTCATACTTAGCCTGTAGAAATGTTCTAAACCGCCTAGATTTGTTTGTAAGAAGTAAATTTTTTATTTTCTGTAAGTTGCTAGCTTAAGTTAGTTATTGTAAGTTAACCTGAATTTAACAAAAACTCTCTACCGTATAAAAATATTAAAACTACAAATTTATGAGATTAGGAAAACATGTTAGATCCTTTCCTAGTACCGGTACTAGTACTAGTATTCTGCAACCTTTCAGATTTGTTTTTTTTATTTTATTTACTCTTGAATATTTTTTTTTCTACCGGTACATAGGTTTGATAGAGAAAATGGAGGCAATGTACAGATCACAGGCTCGCCCTGGTCAAAGTGTATTGCTGTGCTCTGCTACTGACCATTTTTCTGGATCTATAGGAGATAAGGGATGGGGGTGTGGATATCGAAACTTTCAGATGATATTGTCCTGCCTTGCAAAGTTGAATAATTATGCTGAAAGAATTTTTCCAGGTAGCCTTTGATAATTTCCCTGTATTCTTTTCTTAATTTCTTATTTTTGTCCATTAAAATCTTATTTTTCACAGTAATGATGCATAAATTTTTCTACTGCCTGTAAAATTGGTTTTTGAAAACCAAACTGCCTGCAATGACATTAATGGCGAACTCCAAACACTTAAGTTTTTGAACTGCTTTCTATTTCTTGTCCTGTCTGCTGAAGAAGGCTCTTGGCCAAAACGTTCTTTCTTTTTTCATTGGACTGTCTTTATGTTTGAAGCTTATACATACTTTGTTCAAAAATTTCCTTCTGTAAACTGTAAAGAAAGTACTAAATGTGGTTAAAGTTACCAGGCTTTCTCACTATTCACTGTTTTCTATGGGAGGGGTAGCAAAAGAAGTAGCAGAGCTCAAATCTTCTCAACGCTCCAACATTCTGTCTTGTGAACCTTTGAGAAAGAAGAAGACTATGGTACTGCCTAACAAAATTAATCTTGAAAACATTATGTGGTTGGATTGTTGATATCATCTAAGCAACTTCTAGTTAAGTATTGTCCCCAACAGTACCACGCTACAACTATCAGTACCGGGTATTAAATATACCTTTTGACCAAACCTCACCACACTGAATAATTTTGCCTTTAATCATTAAAAGCAATTCTTTAAATTTTAAAATTATTTATTTTTTATTTTAATATTTTACAATATTAAACTGTCCTACCTAAACAGAAAATAACTTATCATCTTGTAGACTTTCTTAATGTTTTTAAATTTTTTCAAATTGCTCATTGCTAGACAATTTTTAAAATTAAAAAAGAAACATAAATCGCTTCACAATTGTAAGAAAACAATATTAGTATTGTACGTGTAGAAACACTGAATCTCTGTTACTTTGGCTTACAGATGAACAGAGATTGATACCTTCCATTCCCAAAATACAGCAAATGATTGAATCAGCTTGGCAACAAGGTTTTGACCCCCAGGGCTGCATTCAGTTGAATGGCAAGCTATGCAATACTAGAAAGTGGATTGGTGCAACAGAGATTGTTGCGGTATTGTCATCTTTAGGTATTAAGTGAGTACTCAGTGAAACTTTTGATTTAGATCTAGACTTAAAAAAAACGTATCTCAGAGAAAGTGTCTACCAATTCCTGTTATCATGTTACATGTGTCAGATGTGACCAGCTCTCTTTGGTATTTATTGTAAACAGAGTTCAAGAGTTTATGTATGTCATTACTGAACATCAGCAATTTGTGTTTTAGTAATGTTTTGCTACACAATATGGTGCCTGTTTGTTACTGTTATTTTTATCATTGAAAAAGTAATTACACACTCACAGCTAGATCTAACATTTAAATCATAATGAAGATAAAATTTTAAAAAGAAATAAATTGAATCGCTCATAAGGTTAAAACTTAAATAAAGCAAATATAAAAATGTAATCTTTATTGCAATGTTTTAAGTCATGCATGCCCTGGTTAGTCTCATGTAAAATTATAAACACCTTTATCTTTTTTAAAATTAATGTTTCTAACTTTGTGGTTTAAAAACAAATTTCAACAATTTTTATTTTTAAAAAACTATTTTAACTTATTCAAGGTTTACTTCAGTTTAGCTTTCTTATGCAGAAAATAACAGTATGGCTCTATTTCATTATTTTTTTTAAAAGATCATCAGCACTGTTACTGATATAATAAAATAAGGATTAATATGTACTTTTGCAGATGCCAGCTTGTAGACTTCCATTCACCAAGTGCACCTGATGGGACTCATCCTCGCCTGTTGGAGTGGGTTAAAGAATATTTCAAAAGATTTCATTACCAACCCACTGCTCCCCTTTATTTGCAGCACCAAGGTATAAATATAATATTAGTAGATTTGCTTTACTAGACCACTGACTGATTTGTTCATACTCATAAAATACCGGTAGGGTAATAGAAATTATTTTTATTTTCAGGTCATAGCAGAACCATTGTAGGTGTAGAAAATGACAAAGGGACTGTAAAGCTTCTTCTCTTTGACCCTGGAACTCCAAAAGATCAGATAGCAGCACAGATGAAGGGCCAAATGTCATGGAAAGACATGAGATTGTTCCGGCGTGCACAGGCTAATTTCAAAGCCAGACAATACCAAATTGTAACTATTGTAGGAACACTAACAGATCAAGAGTATCAGGTAATTACATAAACTTTGAAAGATTGCATATGAGTATTATGAGAGCTGCAATTGAGAAAGTGACTGACACTAAGTTAAATGGAAATGTGATTACCTAGAGGCTCCTTTAACCCACGAACTTTGGCAGTGATCATTCTGTAGTGTGGGAGCTGTTTGAGTGCCTTTTTAAGACCCCAATAAGTACCGGTATATATTTTTAGAAAGGTAAATGGATGGGGATTAAGTTGGCTAAATTTTGTTCAGTGTTATTGACCTTGGAGTGCTCAAGAAAAAAAAAATAGACAAAGTGTCCTACTTTCAAGTGCTCATAATAACATTAAAATACTAATATAAATTTGGCAGCCAATTCATTTATCTTTCAGAAAATGCATATTTTGCTAAGGTTTTGATTATAATTAAGCCTCTGAAAGCAATTTTAGATCATTTATTAACGAAAAAAATTAGAAACTGGGACCACAGCTAAAGCCAAGTACAAAATACAAAATCTCAGGCAAAAAAATTATTATTGACTGGTAAACATTTAAAAAGTAACTGTGGAACTGATTTGGGTTGTTTAACTATACAATTTATTAGTTGTGATCTATAATCTGTAGCTTCTGTGACTAAAATTCAGTCAGTCCTTGCCCAGGCTTGCTTGGCTCGAAGTCTAACTGTAGGCCTACTTCATGGGGAATTTTAAAATCATCAGTATCATTTAAATCCTCCTCTTAATAGCTTTCAAAAATATTTTTATCAGTTCTCGTACTGAAGGCCCAGCCATATCTTCAGCGATTTTATCTTTAAAAAAAAACAGTGATATAAAATTCCAATTTAAAAAGTACTTATTGTTTAAGCTATCAACAAGCAGCTTGAACGGGAAGATGATTTAATTATTGATAAAAGGAAGTGGCTATAATTCCGGTGAAATATTGGATTGGAAGTTGCATATTGACCGTGCTTTTTATCGGCCGCCACAATACAGAACGAAAATATTGGCCGATTTTATTTTTTTTTGACCGACCACAATTAGTGGGTTAGAGTCTGGATTGACATTGTGGCCAATATAAGGTCTAGATTCTCATTTTACTCTTGATTTCCTTTCATTTGCAAACATCTAACTTAACTGTATTTTTGAATTACATGTAAATAGTTTCACTCCTTTTAATTTACCTTAATTTACCCCTTTCTATATTTTTTCTCCCTAGGAAAGCAAAATACTTAAATCGGAGCGAATATACTGAAACTTAACAACTGTGGTAGTGAGTTGCTGACATTTTTATATGCCTGTATCTTAATGAAATATTTTGGGTGAGGTATTTATATATATACCGGGTATGTCTGCGACTTGCACACACACAAAAGTAAATGTACTGCAACATTACTATCATCTTGAGAAATATTTTTTTTTATTTGAATCTGAGTTCCAGGACTATGTGAATTTTCCAAGTCCATCATTTACCGCTTATTAAATATTCAATATTTTAGGTTGTACACCAAGTCTTGGCAGTCTATTTCATGTTAGGAGTAATTCTTTTACGGTATCTCATTACTTATTGCTATAGTTATATTATAATTTTTAAAAAAAAATAATGATATTTAGACAAATTTATTATGTTAAAAACATTTTTATTGGCTTCTCATTAGTATGCATGAAACAATATACAATCTAATAGTTACACTTTAAATTTTACTTCATTTTAAAATTAACCATAATATTAATAGAGCACTTTCTTTGTCCAAAGTTATCTAAGTAAAGAGGGTAAGTTTGACATTTTAAAAAATTGTACCAGGAAATCACTTTCAAACGAAGTTTATATTTTGGCTGCGTATTACAACTAAACGAGCATAGAAACGAGCATAGAAACACACAAAGCTTTTATGTGATGCAAAATCAAATAATAACACAGTCAAGAGAGAGAGAGAGGGAGGATGGGTTGAGATAACATGAAATGACTTTAAAAAACAATAATTTTTTTTAATTTTTACAGAAATAATGAATTATGTACAGTTAGTTTCATCATATTTTCTTTTATACAATGTGTTTGAGTTAGCAGTGATCAACAATAATTATACAGAATATAATAAAAGATCTCCCTCACAGGATACAAAGATTCAAATGAAATAAATGACAATTTTTTAAAAATTCCTCATCACTGTTACAAGAACTAACAGTGTTAGAGAGAATTGGACTTAGGATTTCAAATAAAATTCAATAACCATATTCGTTTTGTTGTCTTGAATTATTTAAACAGTGAATTTTAGATGAACTCCTTTTATAAACAGCAACATCACAATATACATATGTAAGACTTCAAAATTCATTAAGCACCTTTTACCTTATGAACCTGTTCATAAAATAGTTATTCCTAAGGGAAAAAAAGTACAAGTAAAATCTTTAAAATGTTTTGGACTAAAACTGTCAATGTTTTTTGTTGTTTTTTTAAGTCCCAAGACTTGTAATTAACAAACAACATTATTAAATTGTGTTTATCTTGTAACATTATCATATGCTATGAAAATATATTTCCACACTTAAAAACAATCTATCTCCTGTACAGATTAAAATTTAACCTGTCAAATGGGAGAGTAACAAAGTTGAGCATTGCATAATGAAGCAATTTTGTTTAAAGAATTCAGTCCTGACCATCTGAACAAATATTTTATTACCAAAACTACTCCTTAGACTCACTTGATAGATTTTTAAACAAAAGATTAACAGCTAATCTAATTTTCATAAATATTTTTTCTCTTTAAATGAAGCTACAGGTACCAGTATTCCAATCTTTAAATTAAAATGTGATTCTGTATTCCAATCTTTAAATTAAAATGAAAAATAAAAATCTTTATTACTATAATGCAAACATATTTTGATTTTCATAACCTTAAAAGAGAAATGTTTTCATATAAGAAGATGGATGTCTTTTCTCTTATCTGTTAACCTTTGATTTAATAGGTTTTGTGGATTTATTTGAGAAGTAATATCACTGAACCATTCCTGCCAAATGTATGAAGATGTTAACCCACAAACTGTGCCATAGATCATTCTGTAGTGTGGCAGCTTTTCAGAGCTTTTTGAGTGCCTTTAGAAATAGCATTAAATGACATAGAAATATTGATAGGAGACCCCCAATAAGTGTTACATTTTTAAAAAGGTAAATGGATGGGGATAAAGTTGGCTATATGGCCCACCTGTGAAAAAAAATGTTCGGTGTCCTTGACCTTGGAGTGCTCAAGAAAAGAAAAAAATGTTTTGCTTTTAAGTGCTCATAATACCATTAAAATACTAATATAAATTTGGTAGCCAATTCATTTATCTTTCAGAAAATGTATAGTTTGCTAAGGTTTAGATTACAATTAAGCCTCTGAAAGCAATTTTAGGTCATTTATTACTGGGAAAAAAATTAACTAGGACCAAGTACAGCATACAAAAATCTCAGGCAAAAAAAAATTAATATTGACTAGTAAACATTTAAAAAGGAACTGATTTGGCTTGTTTAGCTATAAAATTTATTAGTTCTGATCTATAATGTGTAGCTTCTGTGACTAAAATTCAGTCAGTCCTTGCCCAACCTCCAGGCTTGCTTGGCTCGAAGTCTAACAGTAGGCCTACTTCAGTATCACTAAGATCACTACTTTGGTATCAGATTCAATAGATGAAGAATCCAAACTGAGATTGTCATGGGGAATGTTAAAATCATCATCAGTATCACTTAAATCCACTCCTAAAAAGCTTTCAAAAAAATTTCTATCAGTTCTCGTACTGAAGGCCCAGCCATAGCTTCAGCCATTTTAGCTGTAAAAAAACAGTGATATAAAATTTCCATTAGAAGTACTTATGTTAAGTTATCAACAAACAGCTTGACCCGGAAGATGATTTAATTATTAATAAAAGGAAGTGGCTATAATTCCGGTTAAATATTGAATTGGAAGTTGCACATTGACCGTGTTTTTTATCGGCTGCCACAGTACAGAACGAGAATATCTGCTGATTTTTTCGGCCGACCAGTTCATGGGTTAACCTACAAGACTTCGATCTTCTGGAAGAAGCACAAACTAAGCTACTCTGGGTACTTTCAGTGATTGGCAATTTAGAAAAATCTAATAGAGTTGATGGTTACTAATTACCAAGAGTCACAAAACAAATTTAAAACAACAAATTAATTGTTACATTGTGCAAATAATGGGACATGTCATAATTATATGGCTGCGACTATTCGCACTCAGGTACCAGAAGTGAGATGTTGGGATTAAAAAACTATTTAAAATATTATTGTTGGGTTTATAAGTAAAATGAGGTATCAAAGGAAAGGTAATTGAATGGACTATATGTTTGTAAACTTACTTCTTCAGTTTAACTAAAATAAACTACTACAAATGACATCTGAATAGCGTTGGTCTAATGGGACCTGGGTGCGAATGGCAACGCTGCGTGTCCGGGGCCATTTCGTAATTAAAAATGGAAATGAGTGAAACAAAGTCTCTCTTAATGTCCTCTCGAAAAATACATTTCATTCCGCTATGTGTTATTTTTATTTGAGTCTGCTTTTACTGTTGTTTGTTTGTTTGCTGATGAAGGCGTCTTGTCGACATGCTCGTTTTGCTGCATTCTTATTTCCAGGTTTTCCCATACTTTGTTTCGCTCATTTCCAATTTTTCAAACTTAATTGCAGTCTCTCCCCTTTACCACCAAAATTTTTAAAAAAAGAGTACTAAGTTATTCTAAAACAAGTATTAAAACTAACTGAAACTGTGTCTGTAAGCTAACTGTGAACTGCTAATACCAATATGACCCCATGCTTTCTCTGCAACAGCTTACGGCCTTGCCAAGAGTTGTAAAGCATGATAAAATTAGGATAATTGCATAACATTCCAATATACATTGCCATAGCTCAGCACACTCAAAAAGAAAAAAAAAAAAAAAGAGTTCATATATAATTAGGCAGGTAAAGGTGTGCCCTTGAACACTTTTCTATCTAGTTTGACATCCAAATTATGTTTATAGACCTGCTTAAGAGTAATGTTGATTTTCTTTGTGATGTACAGCCCTAGAAATTGTAAAGCTTCGTCTAAAATGATGTCAAACTAATTAATGTCAAACTGCTGATAAATGCAGCATAAAAACTAAACATCCCATTGCACTACAAAAATATAATTATGAAGGTATGCATTAATTTGAAATACATGCTGCAATGATTGAAAAGTGGACACAGTAGGAATAAATTACAAAGTTGCGACTATATTTGTCACATTTAGGGAAAGGTTACAATAAAAATAACTCTTCTTTTAGTAACAATGTAGAGATAGCTTTGTAACTGATCAAATACCAGTGAAAATTTACTTAACGCGTGACATCATAAGAACTAACAGACCTACAAGTGTTTACCCATCTAGGGAGTTTTCTGTTAAAGGACCTTAAAATTGTTAGGTAATTGTTCAATTGGTTTATAGTACTGGTACCACAATTTCTTGGTGAGTAGCCATACAAACTTTCTGACCAAAAGGTGATGTAATTAGGTTGGTTTTGACCAGCCAAAAGCAGTGGTCACCTGAATTAAAGGATTCATAATACTATGATAATTACAAATAGATTGGCTGGGCATGCAGATGAGCTTCCTGTATTTCCCTAACCAACAGGACTCTGGTCAGCATTTTATCCATTGTATGAATGTCAATAGACTGGGTTGAATACCACACTGGGCTATCAGGAACACAGGATCTTTCAGGCACAGGGTAAAAAATGTCATTACGGTTCTTTATACTTTCAGGGCTGAAAAAAAGACATGAAAATAATGTCATTTGTGAATACTGGTATTCACTGTCTTTGGGGGGTCCCATAAAATGTGATAGCCTTTCCCATAAGCAAATTTTTAATATGTATCTTCTTTGTGACAAGAATGAACACAATTACAGACACTAATTATCAAGTTTGGCAAATAATTTTTTCCCCCAGTAAAGTTTACTGAATTTGGAATTAATATAATAAACTTCATAAATATTCAATTAAAGATATGTGAAGATAAATTTTAAGTAAAATCTGTATTGTGAATGTCATTGTAAATATTAGTTACTGCATCAAATATTAACGAGTTTATTACTGTGTCAATTTCAAATTCAACTCTGCAACATATGGCAAGATAAAATAAATACAGCTTTTATTTGGAAAGGCTGAAATTTGTTAATTGTTCAACAGACATTCTGCCTTAATTGTTAATAAACATTGATGTTAATCTTCCAGTAAAAGTAAACACAAATATTGAGACAAAATTAGTCTTACCACTTCGACAAAAAAAATTCATATAACTTTACAGGACAGCGAAGAGGATTCTCAAAATTTTCTGTCACTTCATATACTGGCACACCTTCTTTATTCTTTCTTGCTGCCAGACCATCTGAAAAGGTAACATGTAACAAATGATTTTTCCAATCCATCTGCCAGACCATCTGAAAAGGTAACGTAACAAATGAATTTTCCAATCTTTCTAAAGGCAAGGGCACAAGGCAAGGGATAAAAATGTCCAGACCTGTTTACCCCCAAACTCCTAAAATCGTACAATATGGTCTCAAAATCGTACAATGCAGTATTTTGATAGTAAATAAATAAAAATACAGTATATATAATGTATACATAACTACTCCTATAGCGTGTTCAGTGGAATCGAGCTGAGCTGGCGTCAAAATATGGAACTGTAGGTAAACAGTAGATGACTGACGTTAACGGCAAACTGCGGTCACTTTGTTTAGCAGACGTGTATCGGCTAATACATATTAAAACTTGACGTCAGATAAGCATAAAATAAAATGTATTAAATTAAGAATGAATTACCCGGTAACAAATTGGAACCCCCACCTTTTTTGTGTGTGC